GACTTGTGAATATACGAATACAGTTGAAATCAACATCACAGTACAAAACTAGTTTTTCAAGATTTTTATACAATTATTGTACAATATTTTATTTTGACAACACAATTCTATGAAAGAAATTAAACAATATAATCCTATCATCTCTCAGACTGGATGTCGGTTATCAAAAACTGGCATCACATGTCTGATCAGATTCCCAATCTTGTTTACACATTGTTGGATTAGATAATGTTAAAGCTGCTTTAGATGACATTTGAATTTAAGAAGTTTGCCCTCTTTTGTTAAATGAGAAAATAGGCTTTTACAGACAAACATATTTATATTCCTCGCAGTAAGTTTGATTTGATATCAGTACTGAAAATCAGGTTTCGTATCAGCACTCGTATCAAAAAATAAAAAGAATTGATAAATGATCTTGTTGTTTAATGGCCTAAAAGGAAAAAAACAATGTTTTTGTGTTTTCGTTATGTAAACCGTATCCCCCGATAGGAATAAACATGTTTTGCATGTCTCTGATGGTGCTGATATGTTTGGGATGAAGTCACAACACCAGCTCTTGTGTCCTGATGTTGTGCCCTCAACTGTCTTCTTTTTTATGATGTCTTCAGTGTCAACCCCAACCCTGAGGGCTGTAAGTCAGAGACAGTCTGTCAAAATCCTCCCCTCTTTTCTCCCCCTGTCTGTCTGTGGGTCTGTCTGTCTGTCTGTCGGTCTGTGTGGACAGAGACAGAGATTTGGAGTTATATGATCCAGCTGCAGTGTGAGGACCAGTAGTCGCCCCTCAAACACAGGAAATCCCCTTACTTCTGCTTCACAGCTCTGTTGTGGCCGCATGTCTATGTGTATATTTCTGCGGCACAGATCCTGTGTGCATGCGCCAGAGTCGGACCACGTTTTTCAGGAGGGGGGGTTACAGTACTGCAGGCCCGACCAACCAATCAAGTGACCGCAGTCTCAAGGGATGCACACAAGAAAAGTTAGACAAACACAACCACGGCCTTTTTCTCAGGACACTTCCAGACACTCCTATTGGCTGACCCACAATGCAGCCCTTTTTTTTCATTGGTCCCCTTGCCTCCCCCACTCTGCTCTTCTCTTTAAGGAAGCTTTGGAGGTTTGGCCTCTGAACTCTGACCCCTTTGGGAAAGCAGAAAGTCCTCTAAAGGGATCCAGCGAGAGGCGAGGTTCATCTCTGGAATGTCTCGATTTGGGTCTCTTTTTCTTCTCCACCACTGTCCTCTCTGACCGGTTTACAGGACTTTTAGCCTCTTTAGAGAGTGAAAGCATGAAGTCTTATGTCATCATGATGAATGACAAGCTTGCTCACAAACTTTTAACTGCACACCCCAACTGATTTAAAGGGTCAGCTCACACAAAATCCAGTCATTGCCTCCATTGTGTTATGGTGGAGACAGCAATCCCCAAGCTGTCTACATGTAAAAGGTTAGTGAGAAAATCTGTCTTTGTGATTTGGGTGAACTGACCCTTCTAAGAGGAAGAGTAAGAAGATTCCCCTCAGTGTGATGATCTATTAGTTTTCGGCCTTGTCAGCCTGCGTTTGGCACCACTTCCTCCCGGGGGCAGCCTGCAGTTAAAGGTCTCCGTCTCCTGCGATTGGCTGTAAAGGGCTCGTGGTTGTTAACTGGCGGGTTGCTTTGCCAGCAGGAGGCTGTGGGCTGGGCCACGCCGCTTGGCCTGATCTCTAATTAGTACTGGCTTGTCAGCTAGTCAGGGTGGATCTGTCTGGGAAATTGCAGTCTTGTACACACAGACACACATACACACATAAACCATAGCTGGGAAACACACAGGAAAGCTGCAGTGGGGTGAGGATTGTCCTGCAGTTTGGGAGAGTTTGTCTGTGATCATGTGGCTTTGACTTGTGTTGCCGTTTGATTCTTGTGAGGCTGAAGTGGCTTATTTAGGGCTCGGGGTGTGTTTGTGTGTGTCTTAGTGTGCTCTTATTAGTGGCGTGGCTGCAGCAGTGAAGTGGTTAACAGTCCCGGGGGAGGCTCGTGTTACCAGCAGCAGGGCAGGTCCTTCCCTCTTCTCCCCCCCGGTCTCTCTCTCTCTCTCTCTCAGTTAGTCCAGAGAGAGACGAACAGTGCCCGAGGGATGAAGCATCAGTGCAACGAGTGACAAAGGAGCTCAATCTAGGAACAGTGCCAGGGCGAGAGGGGGAGAGGGGGAGAGAGAGAGAGAGAGAGAGAGAGGGGGGAGAGACATTGAGTAAGCTCAAAAAAAGAGAGAGAGAGAGAGAGAGAGAGGCAGACAGAGAGGGAGTGGGAGAGATATTTGGCTGTGTGAACTCTCTCAGCGGCATGAAGTCATGAAGCTCTCTGTCCAGCTTGGCATTTTCCCGCAGCGCACTGGTTCCCACGGCAACCCAGGCACCCTGACCAGGTAGATTGATACGCGTTTGTGTGTGTGTGTGTGTGTGTGTGTGTATATATGTGTGTGTGTATATGTGTGTGTGTGTGTGTGTGCACAAGTGTGTCAATGAACTTTTGTCCCTCTGGTAATAATGACTGTGGTTTAGTCTGTTGAGGAAGCGTTGAGATCTTTTGTGGGTTTGTATATTGTTTGTTCATGGCTTTCCAAATATATTTATTTTCTTTCATTGCATTTGTCTCTCTCTCTGTGTGTGTGTGTGTGTGTGTGTGTGTGTGTGTGTGTGTGTGTGTGTGTGTGTGTGTTAGGGGGGTACTTTCCCCTGTGGCTGTATGGACGAGTTGAGACGATTGTGGTCACTCTAAATCTCTCAGCACCTCTCAGCTCGTCTGCTCCACGGATGCTTTCAACTCTGAAACCGTGTCTCCGCTTCGCCGCTGTCTGATTTATTCTGCTGGTAAATCCAGAGGGAAGTCATGTTTTCTCTCCGTCTCTGTTGGTCAGGTTGTTTGCAGGGTTGCTCCAAAAAGCAGCAGATATATTTGGCTTGAAATCTGCCGAGGACCAGCTGATTAGATTTTGGTGGTAATCTGAATCTGGGATTTGAGCCATTGAAAATTCTTTGTTTTTGTTTAGCTTTTTTTAAGCCATAATTATGATGTTGTGTTCATGTTGGTGGTGGGAAAAGTTCAGGACTTTAAGTTGGCTACTGAGCAGCACTGCACTGATTTGCTGTCTCGCTCATCTGAAAATCTGACTTGACGGATGAACGATGAATGAGGGCTGATGGGTATCAAACTTCAGTACTTGTTTTTAGTACAGAATGAAATGTTTCTCTATCATAAAGTATCAACAACTGGCGAGTTACTTCGACTCAGTCTGGGATATTTCCTCATTTATAGGAAACTTTATTTATTTTAGAGCCCTTGTTTGGCCACTTGTGTTACCGCAATATTTAACACCGATCTTACTAGGAGTTCGGTTTATTTTGTTAACTTAAAAACAGATTTTGTGGAAAAAATGTGTTCATATTGCTCAAACTACTGGAAGCTATTGGAAGAAGTATTTTTTCGTATCAGTATCGAAAAAGGTCCAACAATATGCAGACCCATTGGTAATATATTGATTATAGTGCTGATAATTAGGCCTATAGGCGATGCATTGATTAGTTAATAATAAGTTGACTTGTTCCACAATAATTTTGGTAATTGATCGTCATTTATCAAGCAAAGACGTCAAACCTTCTCTTATTCCAGTTACTCAAATGTCAGCATCTGTTGCTTTCCTCCTGTTGTATGTCTTTATATATCTGGCTGTGTTTTGTTTTGGACTGCTGGTGGCACAAATCTTGGGCTCTGAGAACTTGTGGGCATTTCTTATTGGCATACATACGGAAGATTAATCAATAATGAAAATAGTAATTAACCGCAGTCCTGGTTGATGTAATAGAAAAGGGAAATGGTCGGTGTGCCAAATAGACTATAACTCCTTTAAACCCCATGTGTTCATACACAGTGTGTGTGTGTTTATATATTATGGTGTGGGTGTATTTCATGTTGTCATACAAAAGACTTTCTTGACATGTTTTTATGTATCATTATTCTTAACTGAACGGACGGACAGATAGTTTGACAACACCAGCTGTGTGTGTGTGTGTGTGTGTGTGTGTGTGTGTGTGTGTGTGTGTGCGCGCATGTGTGTTTGTGTGTGTCTGTGTGCTCTGGTGCAGCCAACCTGCACTGGCCATCACCATCAGCCTCCCTCTGTTGCTTTCAGAGTGATGTTTGCCAACTGGCCGGGCTTCCTGTCCCCCACAGACTCCCAGCGGATACACGCACACACGCACACACGCACACACGCACACACGCACACGCACATATTTACAAATATCCTGCATTAACTCCCAGCCTGTTTGCTCTGCTCAGATGGGTCTGTTTGAACAACTTACAGAGACACACACACACACACACACACACACACACACAGACACAGACACACACAAGACACACCATGATGTCACTCCCCCGACAAGCCTTTGTTCATATGATAGACATCCCCATTCAGCCTGTTTTGCGTGTATGTGTGTGTGTGTGTGTGTCCAAGCTGAAGCCAGTTCAGATGGAGACTAAAGGAAGAGAATCACCAGGCAGTCAGAGACGCCGGATCCATCTTTGTTTTTAATTTGCAATTTTAGTTCCGTTTAACACTGCAAGTAACAGATTTGTTCTTTTTCTTTTCCTGAAGTTCGAATGAGGTTTTTACAATTCTAACCAGTGTTAAGTTAGAGTGCAAATATTACACTAAATCTCACTGCGCCTCCAAAAGGCATCTGTGCCTCTAAGAAGTTCAGCTGACTGATGCAGAGCAGTATTGTTCTTGATAGAAGAAGCATCCCACCTCACTGCTGTGTCTTCAGGCACTGTTGAGTGAATTTTGTGTCTGTCTCTTCAAAGAGGAATGAAACTCGTTCCCCAAAGAGCCACTGTCTAACAAGAGCCAAGTGGATACCCCCCCCCTTCCTCTTCACTCTGGAAGATTTATTGTTTGAAGAGTATTAAAGTGAGCCTCTCTCTGTCCTCTGCTGTGTGTGTGTGTGTGTATGGATCCAGCTGGGATGACAGCAGCTCTGTGAGCAGTGGCATCAGCGACAACATCGACACAGATGACATCAACACCAGCTCTTCCATCTCCTCCTACGCCAACACCCCCGCCGCACAGCGCAAGGGCCTCAGCACACAGGTAAGACTATACACACACACACACACACACACACACACACGCACACACACATCCATATTTAATAATAATAATAAATAATAATAATTTTGTTTTATAATTGTGCCACAGGTTGGGATAGCCAGTTCCATTTTGGATCTGGTTTCAAGTTGGTTAAGTAAGCTCAGAGTAAAGTAACGCTTTCTATCCCCTCTCCATTTTTTATTACAAAAGCATGATTTATTTTACAAAATGTACAAAAACACCAAATATGTAATATACCTGGCAAAACGTTTTATATCTTAAAAGCTATTGAAAGCTGAAACCCCATGTCAAAAATAAGACCACATGAGTTCCATGTGATGGCAGTTATCCAGGACAACAGTTAAATTCACATTAGGGCTGAGGGTTCATTTAAATAAAAAATCTACAAATGTAGAGAAAAAAAAGTAAACTACATGTATAAAGTGTATGTATAAACTGATGCAACTGTATTCTTCCACTTGGCCTCATTTCCCTAAACCCAGTCTCTCCCAGCATTCCTCTGCAGTCAGAGAAGAATGTGGGACTACGTCTGAATGGCACAGCTGTGAACTAACAAAGCTAAAGCTGATGTTGACACTGGCCTCAAACCATTCAACACTGATTAAGAGCCACTACGGTCCAGAAAAGTGATCGGTGAGACGATAATATTGTCAGCTGACTCACGTGTATGTCACACACACAGCATTGTGGCCGACGTGGAGCCAGTCACCATGTGATGTGTGTCTGTTATTGCTGCAGAGGTCGAGGTGCTGGAGAAAAAACAAAGGAGGGCACAAAGGAGCTTTTCTCTGAGTACAGCAGCCTGACACAGTGCAGGTTGATTAAGTCTGCCTCATCTGCCCTCTGGTGATAACACACATCGGCTGGACTGTGTTTGAGGTTTTATTTTAGTTCTGTGAACAGAGTAGCTGCAGAATCAACTTAAAAGCAGCCGTCATCCCTCAAATAGCTGTAATTTACTGTTGGAAAAATGAAGGTTATGGTGAACTTGCTATGTCATACTTTAATTTAAAACGATAAAAAACTTGCACAAACAGTAACTTGCCTTCAGTATGTTTTAGGTTATGAAAGAAAGACCAGTGGAGTTGTAAAGCTCAAGGTGATCAGCAACAGCAACTATTTCCACACTTTTTATTGTAAACAAGAGTCATCGCAGGAGACTTCTCTGCCGTGTGCGGGGAGACCGACATGAGATTTGCCTCCCTCAAGACTTTAATGAAAAAATATTCAAGTCTCCATTTTTAACTTAGTCCTGTTCTCTTGAAAGGATTTGGTCTTACCTAAAGTTACCTAAATAAACACTAATAACACAGCTCAGAAAAGAAATAGTCACCATTCAGAGGCCCAAAATACTTTGATTTGTCTTGACATTTGCAATTTTCTTATCAAGATTTGTGACGTGACTTAAACCTGTCAGACTTGAGACTTGCCTTGAAGTTAACGAATATGACCTGCCCAGCAAAGCAAACAGCATCAAACATGCTTCTCTTACATGTCAAGCGTGTGATGTGGTGATCTGGTTTCTCTTTGGTCAAACAGCTTCCTCACAAACTGCTCAGGTGATGCTAGCAGGATTGCACAGCATGATGGCTGTGCAATCTGGTCATACAAACTGGAGTGCTTTTTAGAGGCACATAAAAGACTCTTACTTCAGCGGTAATAAATCTAACATACCGGGTGTGTGTGTTCCCAGCCTGTGACAGATGCAGAGAAGCACTCGGCCTCCACAGCGGTGCATCAGGCCTGGTCAGGAGACGAGGTGAAGAGGCCAGACGGCGGGTCAGACAGCGGGGTCAGGATGGAGCCAGGCTCAAAGTGGAGCCGCCGGAACCCCTCCGACATCTCTGACGAGTCCGACAAGGGCAGCTCGGGCAGGAAGACCCCCTCCGTGTCGCACACAGGCTCTTGGAGGAGAGGCATGAGCGCTCAGGTGGGGGTGACGTCCCCCCGGACTAAAAGCACCAGTAGCACGAGCTCCACGGGCTCCGCTGGCCTCAAGACCCACAGTTCAGGTAACACAGACATCCACAGCCAATAATAGAAAAACTAAATAAATAATAAATTCATCATAAATGTAATTTGCATGATCTTAAGTCCCTGGCAGAAATTTTCACTTAGTTTATGGATAATCATATTTGAAGTCTGAATGCAAAATGAATTGCCTGTCAGTTTTTTAGGGTAAAATTAGTAGTTCGCTCTTTATTTGTTAACATTTTGTAACATGAGCTCCCCCAGCAGTTGGAGCAGCAGTTGGAGCAGCAGCAGATCAGAAGGTCAAATGTCTTTACACACAGATCAGATGGGCAGTTAAGAGTAGCTGCAGCATTTGGTTTTTGGCAATATTGCAATTATTATTCAATAAAGTGAAATCATGAAAAGTTAAATAATGAGGGGAGTGTAGAGCACCCAGAGGCAGGAACCATTAAAGGATAGTTTTCTGATTATGACATTGCTGTTTAATGTTTGTTTCCTGTGTGATGAGTCTCAAGTGAATAGAGTGTACTTGCATTTAAAGATGTAGTTCGCAATTGATCAATTAGTGGACATGGTGCCACAATTTGAATTCTCAAAGAAAAAGTCAGAAAAGGGTCCAAAAGTGATGCAACTTCTTCACCTTGAGTGTGAAATCATGTGGCACCCACAGACCCCGCTGATGTCTCTCTCTGTGTGTCTTGCAGGTAAGACGGATGACGTCAAGGTGTCAGAAAAAGGTCGTCTCTCTCCTCGCGCTAATGGCCTTCACCGCTCGCCCTCAGACGCAGGACGCAGCAGCGGCGATGAGGCAAAGAAACAGTCGATCCCCACCAGCCGCACGGGGACCACAAACGCCCTCACACACACTGTTTCAGACCCCCACTCACACACACATACACTCACCTCGCGTACCCCTACCAGCACCTTTGGCTTCAAGAAGCAAGGTACTGGGATGGTAACCATGGTTACTGCTAGTGGCGCCACCATCACGAGTGGCTCAGCCACCCTGGGGAAGATGCCCAAATCTGGGGCACGCTCACTAGCAGGAGGGCTGAAGGCCGGTGGTCACGATGGCGGATCAGCGCTGGGTCACCACGATGACGGCTTCCTCCCCATGAGCGCCCGCTCCACACTGCAGTACCGCAGCTTGCCAAGACCCAGCCGCTCCGGAGCAGCCGCACGCAACGGAAACCGCTCCTCCACCAGCAGCATCGAGGCCGCCGTGCTCTCGGTCACATCTCACGGCAAAAACTCAATCAACATCGCCAAGGCCAACGGCTCGGGAGGCCTGATGGCCAATCAGACGGATCGGGAGAAGGGCGTCTCTGAAATTGACAACCTCAGGAGTGGAGTGGTGATGCAGGGTGGAGGAGCAGCGACTGTTCCTCTGACAGGAAGACAGCAGGTTTCCTCACCCACACTGCGCAGGTGAGCACGCACACGCACACTTGTTTTGTCCTGCAGACGGAGTGCCTGATGAGCCATACTGACTGGGCTCATCTTGTATGGGCTTGAATTTACCCACATTCAGCGCACACACTTAGATACACACAGAAGACCATTTTAGAAGACAGTAATCATGTAGTCACAGTAAATGATAAACAGTGGTGAGTAAGGATCACACGTGTGGGCTTGTTTCTCTCACACAAACACAAGCTCAGTGAGGTTAAATCAGGCCATTGTGAAGGCAGGCCTTGAGCTGGGCTGATCAGCTGCCAAGCCTCAGCCTTGGCGGTGCAGGGGGGGAGGGTGGAGGGGGAGGGTGTGGTGCGGGGTAATGGGAGCTGAGACTTACCTCAGCGCTCTGCCCTCATTAATGTGAGGGAGTGATAACTCTTCAAAGAGGCAGTGTGCTGCCATTATCGCCCACCGCGGCTCCAGTCATCACAGCCTGCCATTTAACTGTAACCCAGGATTAACAGAGAACCAGGAGAGAGTTCTGTGTGTGTGTGTGTGTGTGTGTGTGTGTGTGTCTGAATATCTGAGCACTGACTCTACCTTTCCTGGCGGCAGGCCTTCTGCTGATTTTCTTGTTTCATAGAGAGGAAAGAATCATACTGGTGTTTTTGTCCTGTTAGCGATGGGCCCTTAAGGACGGCAAACTGCGTCTGCGTTCAACACTTTGATCCAGAACAACCATGAATATTTACATGTAATTTGTTGTTGAATTTGCTGCTAATATTCAGAGTCCCAGGAGGATGAATCTTGATTATGTTATGCACAAAAAAAAGCCTCAAGCAACTTTATCACCTGCATAGATTGTTAAAAATAATGTGAAATAATTAGGTGTTAAAAGATTTAATTATAGACATGTCTCACAAAACATGGACTATAGCTCTATACACCATATTCTCTTTTAAGATTAGACAGAATAGATTGAAATATCATTCATCTTTACCTTCTGCCTCTTTTTCTGGCACAGTGCTCCTTTATGTAATTTATTATGTGATTTGTCAAAATGACAGAAATGATAGGAATGAGCAATTTATATGACTGAAAAGGATATTAGGAAATGTCATCCTTTGCTTTATTCCTGCTCTTTTGTGAGTACTTTAGTTCTCAGCCTTCCTCCCCTTCCTGATTTTCCACAGGTTGTTTGGTGGGAAGCCCAGTAAGCAGGCTCCCGTCACCACGGCTGAAAACATGAAGAACTCCACTGTTATCTCCAACCCCCACGCCACCATGAACCACGTGGCCACGGTGCTGGAGTCACCTGACGGAGGGCTGGGAGGCGTAGAAAGCGAGACCAGCAGTCCCCTGTTTGGAGGCAGAGTGCACGGATCGGGGATGGGGACCCTGGGCAGCGAGCAGGTGAGCAAGAACGTGAAAATAATGGAGACTGGATTTTTGTTTAAAATCACTGAAGTAGTCTGTTAGTTAGAACTGTGTCATGGTAGCAGCTACTTATGAGTTATTTTTAATCCTAGTAATTACATCAATGTTGACCTGTTGGTCAGTCCACCACTTTATGTCAGACTACAGTACAATTATTAGAGGACTGCCTGAACCTTTATACAGACAGTCATGTCCTCCTCTGAAAGAATTGTAATTACTTAAATGATTTCAGACAGATATACCGGTAATCAATATTGTTTGATAACAATGTAACAAATGACAATGTGAAGACTCGTCTTTATTGTTCTGGTTCACTTTTGCTAAGCTCTGTTTTTGGCCGCAGTAACTCTGAAGGCCCACTGTGCAACTGCTCAGCACACTAGCTGGTGAACATAGTGGAACAAAGAGTTGGGTATTTCCCCTTCGGAGTTGGTACAGACCAAAAAGCTTTAAGAGAGAGAATATTAGAGTTATACTCATCAGTTGGCCCTCCACACAACACTGGACAAGCTAAAGAGCAGCTTCAGCAACAGACTCATTCATCCCCGCTGCTAGAACACTATAATTTCCCTTCGGGGATAAATAAAGTCTATCTATCTATCTATCTATCTATCTATCTATCTATCTATCTATCTATCTATCTATCTATCTATCTATCTATCTATCTATCTATCTATCTATCTATCTATCTATCTATCTATCTATCTATCTATCTATCTATCTATCTATCTAAAACACAACTCTAAATTAATGATAAAGGTGTTCCATCATTGGATATGCACCCTGACTGAGCACTTGTACAATAAAATCTCATTTCTTGAGAAATCTAAGAGAAATGAGGATGTGCCTTTGAGTTTAGAGATGATTAAGTGTGTGTGCGTGTGTTGACAACAAAGGTGTTTGTGAGCTTGTGACAAGGTTTTGGCAAGGACACAATAATGATTTTGTTCTCACCTGACTAATGCAGTGGAAGTGCAGATGAGCAGTGTGTGTACTTGTTGGACTAACTGTGGGCTACATATTGGAGCACAGGAGAGACGTATGAGTCTTTTTTTTTCCTGACATGATTCATACAAATTTTATCAGACTAGTTCTTAATCATAAAGTGACACATGGGGTATTGTTTTTAAGCAGTTGTCTTTACAAACAGTAAGGAAAGGTTCAAATATATAAATAGCCATTAATCATAAAACATAAAACCGTCAAATAAAAGTGAAAAATACATCAGGACTGTATTATTCATTCATCTATTTATGTTTTCTTCATTAACCACATAATCTTCAGAGGTCAGAAAACAATGACTCTAATCACATTCCCAGAGCCCAAGGTGAAGTCTTTAAATAGTTTTTTTAAAGATAAATTATAATAATAATTATAAAATCATAATTATATGAAAAGCGCCAGAGTCTCGTATTTAAGACGCTATTGGCATTTTTGTCTGGTAAATTATTGAAGCTATTCATTGACTAATTGTTTCAGCACTGGAATAGACAGACTCCCACTGGGTTTGAAAACAATAACATCCTCTCCACCCCTCCACAGGCCTCCAGTCCCGGCTCAGTCTACTCCTCCACCGGCCCCTCCAACAGCCTGACATGGGGCACCACCTTCAGCAGCTCCTCCGCCCAGAGCCGAGAGAGCACGCTGGGCGGGCACGGAGGGACAGGCAGCGTGGGATTCCCCTCCGTCAGCAGCATGCACACCAGCAGCGAGTCCATTGACATGAGCCTGGGCAGCGGGGGCCATGGGACCCACAGGGAGGACACTCTGTCCGCTCTGGGCCGCGCTGGCAGCGTCAAGACTGGCATGTCTGAGAGGTGAGGATCCAAAAAAGTGGGACATTTTGCGGTGTCCATATTTTTCAAAAACGTTCTTTTCCCCCAAAAAATCCCCAAATTTCAAAAGAAATCTGTCCAATGTAGCATCTTGTTTTCATCAGTGTATTATATGAGGGTTGTTTCCAGGATCTTTACATACAATTTGTTAAGTAGTGTGACTAATGAATTATTATGTGACTTTATGAAAGTCTACACTTATCTACACTCTAAAGAACTATAAACAGTCCTGGTGCTTTAAAAGGGGTTTTCCTGAGTACTTTTACTTTTCATACTTAAGTACATTTTGCTGCTCAAACTTAATAAAGGAACATTTTGAATGCAGTTACTTGGTGTAAAGGATATTGACACTTTCACTGAGTAAAGGGTCTAGATACTTTTTCCATCGCTGACAATGTTTAAGTCCTTCCCAGTATTGACATTAATTCCTTTTAAAGGATCCAGAATCGAGGTGATGCACAAAGCATCCGTCGTGGCGAGGTGTCGCTTCTTGTTTGCCATTCTGTCTGCGCTCGGGCAGAGAAACACGATCCCATGGCGTCCTCAGTCGATTATACAGTAATTGTGGTCATTGTAGCAGATTCCTCGCTGACAGGTTGACTGTGTAATGTGACAGGAATGTCTCAAAGGAAACTTAATAGCAGCTAGAGTCGAAGCTTTGAGGCCATGACATCACCCCTCCTCACTGAGTTTTCTTATTAACTTCATTGGTGAAGAATCTCGCAGTTGACTTCTGTTCTGAAGGATTTCCTCATCTACTTTTTTATCCTCTAAAACTTCTTCTTTCTCTGTGTCTGTTGTGCGTTTTCCTTCCTGTCCTCCATCAGTCCCCTCTCCTCCCCCTCCGCTAGCCCTATATTCAGCCGAAACACGCTACCTCGGAAGCAGGACAGGTAAATGCACCTGTGTGCGGTGTTAGGCTTTCTGGTGAAACAGCTGTGGAGGCTCCTACTAAACCACCACCTGCTGCCACACAGAGAACATCACAGAGACCCACAGAGAGAAGCTCTGTGTGGTAGCTTGTTGGATTTTATGGTTTTTGTGCGGAAGTGTGTCACTCTGTGTGGTAGTTTGTGGTTATTTTTAGGACCTCGAGCTCCTGTATGAGTGGAAGTTTATTTATGAGAGACTGCTAATGTGAGGTCGTCTGTGTGGATGTTGGCAGCTTCAGTGTTTTTGTTTAGTGGTCCCCTCTAGCCTGTTATGACTGTTTACATACTGCCACCTTGTGGTAGAGTTTATGTGTGCAGATTTGCCTATAGGATGTTTATTATTGATTTTACACTGCAAAACTCTCAATCTGAAGGAATGTGTTCCTATTTTTGAGCCCTGAAGTTTTATTTCGGGCAAAATAACGGAAATAATCAGCCAGTACAATGAGACAAATGAAACTGCTCCAAGAATTTTACATATAATCAAATGTAATTTTACTTTATTCCAAGCTGGCATTAGCCTGCTTTCTTTTAAGGAAATTAATTTTAGGGTTTTAGGACTGAGCAAAAGTCCAAAATGACTTGGCTAGATGGAGATTTTGCAGTGTATAAATGAGGATGTACTAGTATTGATAAACAACATACAGTATCTTTGCAAGTGAAACATAGTATTAGTCTTTGAGAGATGCAGCCATATGTTTCCTTGCCTCCTTGCTTCCTTTGCTTTCCTCCTCTGAAGTGTTTCTCTCCCACAGCGGGCCACACTGTGGTAGAAACACTCTGCCTAAGAAGGGACTCAGGTACTGACTTCACTTCCTGCTGGACATGTTGCGTTCTTTTGCACAATCGTTTACCAAATTGTCTTCTGTCTTTCTTTTATTTCTGCGTCTACATTCACTCTTCGAGGCTTGCGCTCACGCTTTTAAAAAGATGCTTTTGAAGCTTTTTCTTTGGCACTTGGCACATGTGTTGTTGTGTTGTGCTTCTGTGAAGAGGCATGTCACTTTGTCGTCGTTCAGAGCTGTCACTGTATTACGCTGTCGCAGGCTTGATTTTCAGGGTCAGATTTTCTTTGGCTTCTTTTCTGCTTTTTTCCACCAGTTTCTGTTGCTCACAGCTGAGAATCAGTCTATGTTCATGCCGTTGTAATTCCTTTTTTAGTGTCTGATTCATCTGATTTTAGATCCCAACTACTAATCTGGCTGCTTAAGAGAAAAAAAATCCACCTTACTGATGTAAAAAAATCTGAATCCAGATCAACTTGTCCTGTAAAAACACAGAATCCACACGGTTCTGTTTTGTGTCCTCACTTTGACTTTAACCCTTTATTTGACTTCCTGTAGGTATGGCCCATCCCCACAGCTGCGAGGCCACGAGGAGGCCCGTGATTGGCTGCGCTCCCACTCCACTAGTGGGCTGCAGGACTCGGCCAGTAACTCCCCGTTCTCCCCCGGCTCCAGCATCACCTCCCCCTCCGGCACCCGCTTCAACTTCGGACAGCTCGGTACGCCCCACACGCCAAAACCCAGCACTCCATGTGTATTTACTTTATCATAATTAATCACTTAGCATTCGATTTGCTCTTTGATGGCTGAGACAAACTCAAGCCTGTGAAGTAATATCAGAACTCATCAAGATAAACACATGGTTGTTCTTTTTAGTTAAAAAAAAAGTTACAGTTAAGAGGTGACGTTAAAGACAACATCCTAAAAATACCAAACGTTCTCTGGTTTCCTCTTAAATGTGAGACTTTGCTGCTTTTCCCTGTTTTATATAATTCTACACTGAATATGGCCATATGTCACATAATTAAACTAAAACTATAAATCCAAAAAGTATATCAAAAATAAGAATAAAAAAATCATAACTTGACTAATATAATTTCATACATCATTTTTACAGCATCAAGTCCGACCTCAGCAGCTCAGATCAACCTCGCCAGTATGCGCAACAACAGCCTGACCAATCAGGAGGTCTCCTTTGACCCTTGCGGTGACAACCGACTGAGGAACTCGTGCATGTCACTCGACGAGAAGACTCGCACCATGAGTAGATCGGGCTCCTTCAGGGACGGCTTCGAGGAAGGTAAGCTGAGACAAAAGGAGGATGTATTGAATATTCAGCGAGTCTGTGTGAGTTCTGGCCATGTTTTCTTCAGACGTTTGGCGAAATCTGTAATTAGGTGTGATCCGTTTCCAAGACCTGCATGCCTCCATCCCTCTATGACTCTGAAGCCTCCCTTTCCTTATTCCACATCCCTGTGCCAAAAGAATTATTATTCCATTTGTTTAGAGAACATTAGGACGGATTACAACTGCTCCTCTAAGAAAAGCCCTCCATCCCTTTAGAAATCCATAATCTGCTTTGATGCGGCTTTGTTTTTTCATAAGCTTGTTTATTGGGAAAAGTACCCAGCCGTGCTTTTCCCACCAGCAGGCAGACTCCCCGCTCCACTGGATTCTGCTCAATCCTCAGGGCCATAGAAACACAGCGTTTTGATTTAGAGGAACAAACTAAAGCTGGGAGTGAGTTAGGCATAGTATTGAATATAAGAAAAATCCATTCTTAAAGGTCCAGTGTGTAACATTTAGAAGGACCCTGGCAGAAATAGTATAGAGTATAATATGCATAACTATGTTTTCATTAGTGTTTAATCACCTGAAAACAAGGATTGTTTTATATCTACAGATGCAGCGGGTCAAACCAAACACTAGATGCAGCTCAATCCTTCACACTGATCCTTTGAACTATACAATAATGCAGCAGTTAGCAGTGAACGTGCCTTTCAGTGAACTGCAATATAAACAATAAACCACAATGTATTCTGGGAATTGTAGTTAATCAGTAACTGACGTAAAACTTAAAGTCACTGACCGATATCCACCTAACAGTGTAAAGAAATGAAAAGGCAGATTTTGTCCCGGAGAGTGAATAAATGCAGAGGAAAGGGCAACATGAGCGATGGACAAAGAGTTGGTGAGCAAACTCAGTGACACTGAAACTGGTTTCGTAAATGCGCCTCAGGGAAATCAGCTGTGTGTGTGTGTGTGTGTGTGTGTGTGTGTGTGTGTGTGTGTGTGTGTGTGTGTGTGTGTGTGTATGTGTGTGTGCTTTAAGAAACCTGGGAAATCCGGACTCTTAACTTGAAAGCTTTGTTTTCTTTACCAGATTCTGAAAAACATCCGTTCAGCCTATATTTGTGCGGTATATTTTATACATTGCATATAGTACTATATAGAGCATAGGACAGGAGTTTCAGATGATTGATTATATGAATATAAACAATAAACCAACAAAACAAATACAGAGTAATCAGCTGACCCACTTTAATAGCTAACTTAGATGATGCACAGGCATGAGCTTTCTGGTGTTAAACTTATGTGGGAACTAATTTAAGATTAACTTTGTTGTCTGAGAGAGTCAAACATCCATTGTACAGCCGACTTTAAAGACATTTTGTCTCAAACAAATGCCTGTGGAGGTTTTCCTGGTGTTTTGTAACGGTTATACAAAAGTTCAGATAGCACACACCTGATGTGCACATGCACACTAACACAGAGACATAATGATTATTATTATTGTGCACCAAGTAGCATATCTGTCTCACTCCTATTCCCAGCTCCATGATTCTGTCTTCCCTTCCAGGAGAGGAGATAATTACAGGGATCGCAGTGAGAGGCGTGACACACACTTGATGACATACAAGAAACCTCCAACATAACTTTCTCTCTCTTTGTGTGTGTGTGTGTGTGTGTGTGTGTGTGTGTGTGTTAGCTCGCAGTGTGCAGGTTTGCGAGGAGATTCGGTTTGTGTGTAATATGTGTATGTTGCTGAGGTGTAGAGTTACCCGACCGTTGTTAGATTGACAGGACAAAAGTCACATCATCCACCCAACACTTTGTCCTGTGTGTCACACTGTCACTTTATCCCCTCCCCCCCAAACCCTCCCTCTCACCTCTGTATATGTTCACCTTCTTCTCATGTCTGTAGAAACCATATTCTCCAATACAGACTGACTGACAGTTTATATGCTTTCCTCTTAGAGATAGAGGGTCAAAAAGTAGAACCTGAGATTAATGGTTACGTTTGTAATCACCGTCATCTTTCAGCTCCCATTTTCTGCAGAGTCAGCATAGTTACAATCCTTAGGGATGTTTTTTTCTTTGAAATAAGGAATTTCCCTACTCTACATTCTTATAATAACAACAGTGCGTTATAGTAAACAGAAAGAAGCCTTCTGTTTTGCCCTTATTTTGGGCTGAGCCTTTGTCTCTGTGCTGCATTTTACTAGAGATGGGAAACAAATAGTAACTCACAGTGCAACAGTTTCATGACCACAATAGTGTTTCAATAGAGGTGACTCTACAATATATATGAGATAGTCATCTACAGTACAGCGCAATATCTGCGTAACTGTGCATGAGATCTGTAAGTTGTCAAAGTTGTACAATTGTGTTCTTACTGTATAGACAATGCTGTCAGTGTAGCAACATTTTATAGACATTTATAGAAATTCTCAGTGTTAACCCAAACAGCAACATGTACACATGTGCCATTGATTAAAGGTTAAACAGCAGAAACTGGCAAAACGTCGATGAACATTTCAGAGATAAAATGTTTGTAGTAAAGAACAAACACAACTCCACCATCTTTTCATTCTGTGTTAACTGAATTTAATAAAACAAAAATGACTCCAAAAATCTTCACTGATGAAACAATGATGGTACGGTTTGTTCATAATATCTCACATAAGAATCACAGAAGACTATATCACAATGAAATACCATATAGTCATTATTGTCCAACCCACACAGGAAGAAATCAAAGTAGTCCCCCAAAACAACATCCTAACACAGAAGAGGCTGGAACCAGGGAATGGTTGGCATTGTTGCTTGAAAAAGGGAAAAAAAGAGAAGAATTAATTAATTGTCAGAATAGTTGCCTCATCAATCAAATAATCGTGTGCAGTCAGTTCAGGTCTAAAAACATTCACAATGAGTGAACTTTAAAATATCTTTTTTTCACATCTGACCTGCACAAACTGATTGATGAGATCTAAACCAGACAGCAGTGAATGTAGATTAATGTTCTCCTTTTCATGTCATTCCCAGCACACCTCGCTGTCTAGACCAAATTCAGATAAAAGTAACTAATGTCTGTTCCCTGTGCGGGGAGCGAATGAATCTGCAGGGCTCCCACCAGCCTCCCTGTGCGGCTGATGACATCACGCGGTTGATCCTCTCTGATCTGCTCTCAGGCAGGAAACAGTGCTGGCGTTGTGTCCCGGCCTCTGATGTGTGATTAGTGGCTGAGTCATTAGCAGTGTAATGCTCAGGCTGTCATTAGTTGCGCCACAGCCCAACTGTAACGTGTAGGAGTTTTATCTTCACAACCGCAGAGCTGCAGTCATTATGTTCAGGGGGCGGGTAGTCGAGTCGGGGCGGGCAGGAGTAAGTGGGAACACTGGGAGGAACAGGGTTGGGTGGGCAGGGTTACTGTGGGGGGTCTGTTGTTAATCCAGGTACTGTTGTGTGTACAGATGTACTTTTCTAATCCCCACTTTTACTTGTTTGTGTCTCTTTAGTTCATGGATCCTCCCTGTCTCTGGTCTCCAGCACGTCTTCCATTTACTCCACAGTAAGTACACAAAACGTTGAGTTAATTAGGGTTGGATATTCTGTGATTTCTTTTTGAATCCTGGTGTGTATGATACCTTCAGTATAAAGGTAACGTACTTTTTTGGTAGATTGTGTTTCGCTGTTACATAGTTTGTCCACTAGAGGGCGTTAACAGGTTTATTTCTCAACTGTAAAATATCCAGTCGCAACGCTTTAATATCCAAATTATGGTGTATGTTATGTGTCCTGGTGGCCACATACCATGTAACCAGAACCGGAGGTTCAATTCTTTCCTTTTCGTTCCTATCACACCTTCGTTCTCTCCATGTTTCTTGTCTCTCTCTCCGCTGTAAACCGAGTAATGAAGGCAAAAATGACAACAACAAAAAAAAGATGAGAAATTCAAATTTTTTTTACTCAAATACTGGTATTGGCATCAGCCTCAAAATACAGATATAAGAATGTCTTAAGCACCATCAGCATCCATTTCAAACATTTAACAATCAATATCAGCTGTATTAGCTGAGAGAGAAAAACATGGGTCCATATAATTATATATAATACAGTGTTCTTTTGTAAACTGCAAGATATTTGCACAGCAGATTGCTCCACAATTCCTGTAGGAACCAGTGTAACCAGTTTGATTTTGCTTATGGAATTATGAAACAATAAGTATTGAAGTTGGCAAATACGCTGCAACACATTTACCCCCTAATCTATCCAGATATTTGACTCAAACACCCTGTGAGAAAAAGGCTTGGCTGTAGAGAACTTTGGTCAGCCCACATGTACACAGTAGCCAATCAGAGCCTGGCCTTTGCACTAGCTCCTCCTCCCTCTGTGGGCTGGTTCACTCACCTGGGCAGGTGTAGCAGAGAAACTCTCAGACATTAGATCTCTGCTCGGCACTGGCTGGTGCTTTGAGCCTGAGAGTCACAGGTTTGAAATCAGAAGGGGGTAAAAAGAGTGGAGGCAAAATGATGGCGACTCTATCCCTGACGGGCACCGTCACTTCATGGCAACAAACGGTAGGGATGAGGAGGGCTGTAGAGTGCAGGAGTAGATTTTTGCTCAGTTGGAGATAAATACAGCTGTAAGTCACACATGTAATTACACAGAACATGTAAGCGTAGATCTTGTTTATTGCTCTGTTTCTTCATCAGGGAAAGCTGACATGTCTGACTCATATATGAAAAACTAATCTAATGTGTAATCACCACAAAACCAATGAGGCTGAACTTTGGTTTTACTCAGATTCCTTTTCTTCTGTTTAATTTTTATTTATTGTTGGTCTTTCAACCAAATTAGCATGTAAACACTTTGCTTTACTGTTGTGATGTTGATAACTCATGGGATTGTTTTTGTTGGCGAGGTTCCGGTCCAGGATCAGAGTGAGATCTCTGTGTTTTGTCTGCATTTCCAAGTTAAATAGGCTGCTCTGTTTGTGTATCTAGGATCAACTAGGCATGATGTGTGTGTGATTGACAGCTCTGTTTGGGTGTGTAGACCATGTGTGGACAGATGCCACTTTGTAAACCATTCACTCATACCACAGAACACATGTGCTTAGCTTGACACTGCTATACGTCCACAGACACATTAGGCTGTTGAAACCTGTTAGTGGTTGGTAGGTGGAAGGAAAAATCATTTATTATCAGCTGTTCTGCTCCGTTGCATCTGTCACAACACAACCGCTGTGTTCAGGTCTTAAAAATACAGAAAGATTGTGCATTTGGGGGGAAGAAAATTTAAAACGAAAAGCACCTAGAGAGCACATATCCAAGGCTGCACAATCCTTATTATTTCCTTTAATATGGGAAAATGTCAAGAGACTTTGAATCTGCATTGAATACATATGTATTGGGGGAATATGACCCAGATTTGCTCATTCAGAAGTGCGGAAATTCAGTGACGATGTTGAAAAATGTAGAATGTTTAGTCCTTTTGCACATTTTTGAGATATCCTGCTGATAAAACAAACGAGCAGGGCCAAGAACATCACCTCTTTGCTTAGATTAATGGATATTTGTTAGTTTGAAAAGTAATCATCAAATCTATCAGTCTGTTGTTCAAATTAGAAAGCGGAGACAATCATTGTGTTGTTTTTGATTCTAGCACTGGATGGCGTCAAAGTGAGACATTTTTAAATTATAAACATTAAAGGCGTTAAACTTAACTCAACTTTTAGCTCCAAATGAGCCAGTTTTCAGTCTGTAAATTTCAGCATCAGAGGGCCTCTCACTACAGACCAGCGCTGAAAACATCTCCGCTCAGGTTCTAAAAAAACATCTCCGGATGCAGTTTCAGTGCAGCTTGTTTACATGTAAATGTGGGTGTTGCATGTTTCACTGTTTTGGTGAGCAGCAGCAAGAACGGCAGGGTGTGTTGTGTTCGTGCGAGCGTTTGTTTTGCCTGCTCTCACTCTCTATGTATTTTCCTACCTGTCTTTTCTTACTATTGTTCTGTGTGCAGCCTTTGGAGACAATGGGACTCACACACACATAGATATCTCATTGAAATGCCTTCAGGAGGATATCTCTGCTTTCCAGACATATTACACCACAAAATCTCCTCCGCAGTTTATAAAGCGCGTCTCCATGGAGCTAATAAATCAAACAAGGGTCGGGACATGTACCGTCTGACCTCCGGCAGCTTGAACTGCTCTTCTTTTTCATTAAAGCATGTCAGAATTCAGTCAGTACGTCCTCTAATGATTTTCTCTTCTTCTGATGTTTGTTTTTACAGAATGAAGAGAAGTCTCAGTCGGAGGTAAGCGTCTGCCCGCCCACCGCACTTCTATCCTGTGTTTTCTCAGCTCTTTAATTTTCTATGTGCAGTTGCCGGACTTGTTGGAACATGGGGGCGTTTTCACAGTTGTATCTAGTTACACATGTAACTGTATTGTGAGTGACCCTGTAACAGGCTCTTGTTCCTCTCTGAACACCTGTGTACACCTGTATGTGCCCTTTTATGCACCCGCTGTGTTTCATCTCTTAACCTGAACATATCAGCACTCCAATCTGGGAGCCTCCCTCATTTGTTGCTACAATTTTGGATGCGTGGTGTGCGTATGTATGTGCGTGTTTGGTTTGCATGCTTTTATGGATCAGATATGTATTCTTTTGTCTTGCTGCTTTTTGATGTCGTGCTTTTTTACATCCTCAGATCCGCAAGCTGCGCAGGGAGCTGGACGCCTCCCAGGAAAAGGTTTCCGCCCTGACGACACAGCTGAGTGCCAATGTAAGTGAACAACAGTGAGCAGTGAAGTGATACAAACACACTCCTGCATACTTGGACATGTGTACCGTCTCCATCAAGTGTTTATCTTACCACAAATTGAATCACTAACAGGCTCATTAAAACACACATTTTGCATTTATTATCAGCAAATTAATATATAATATAAATGTAATATTGAGGTATATATTCTATACCGAATAAATGAAAGGTTGCTGGTGGTTTTGGACATTACAAAAGTGCCTTTTTTAAAAAATATTTTGACTATATGCTCACTGTTTTTTAAAAACTAATTCATCAGGCACATCAACGACAATTCCCAGAGATAGAAATTGCAAGTTTAAGTGTAGAATTGAACGAAACTAAGAGTCACGACATCTGCTTTATGAGGATGTACGTTGGCATAGCAAAGCTTTGAGCTAAACTTCAACATATCCATGTAATCGATATGCCATGACTAGCATGTTGTTGTGCTAAAAGACGGACTCAACGTTTTAAAAAGCTGTGAAATTTGGCTCTGTCTCTCTCAAGCACGCAAACATTTCCCAAGCGCACGCCAGAACATTTTGTGATATTCATCAAATACTGAAAAGATAGCTCCCACAGAGCACTTTACTCCAGGAAGGTGTAATTTTACATCTGGCAGAACCATCAGGAAATCTCTTAAAGCGTCTCCAGACACGATCCTTTCTGCCCCCCTACCTTCTGTATTGCACAAGTCTCGCCACGCTCTGCCTGTAATCTGCTGCCTGAGTCAATGCACGCCGGTGGTTCAACCATGGATTAGAGATATGGAAGGAAGGCAAAGGTGTTAGATTACAGCAGAGAGTCAAGTCCCAGCACACTGCTGAGGGACTGTCCCAGATGTGGACTGAAGATTTACAGCTAATGACGCAGGGACACAAGAAGGCGTGGTGTGAGTGTTGAAAGAAAAACACAGACAGAAAAACAGAGGAGTTGGTGGGGGGTCATGAGGTTGGATGAAGGAGGGGGTTTTGTTCAAATATTTGATTACACACCACAGACAGATGATGAATTATCTAAACGCACCTTGAAGCCCCCGAGGCAGAGAATCTAAGAAAGTCTTCTGCTCAAAAAGTCACGACTTGAATCAGTCATTAGTCAACGCCTTATTAAGCTCTTACACACATTTCCTGCAGGCATCTGCATATCATTTATATTTGTCTAAAGCGTAGTAGTGATGGATGACCGTGCTTACTTTTGTTTATCTGGTGTGTTTAAACCAGCAAAATCAGCAGTGTTAGTTTTTAAAGCGGTTCTTATTTGTTGTATATATATTAAATCCATTCTTTTCTTTTGCTATGTGGAGCTTATCTTCTATGTCTACATGTACCTTTGAAATCTGCCTGTTTTACTTATTTGCGCCGACCTAGTCTGCAGCCTCCACTTTGTTAGAAAGTCAATTTATTTTATTTCAGCCATAGATCTGTCAAATCAAATTAGAACATAAAAACCACCCAAACTGTAGTGAGTAGAGGGTTTACCTGAAGATGAGTTCATGTTCATCATGACAGTCTTGGGCCTTGGCATGAATGCCTGGTTCTAGCTCCAAGGACTGTTTTTGGCAAAGATGATGTAACGGTTTGGCTACAGAGTTGTATTTGTAGTGTGGGAACCTGTCCAGAACTGACCTACAGGGGATAATCATTTATCACAGGGTGTTCTTATTTGGGGTTTGGTTCTGTTTTCATTTTGGTATGAAGATTACATGACTGATGTCATGTTTGGGTTTTCGCCCCAAGGTTGAAGTGGTTGTGTCGACTGCTCTCACATTTTCTCAGACCCCGTGCAGTAGGTTGTTGTGGTTAAGTTTCTCAGCTCAAGGTCTCTGCTGGTTATCACAGTTCAGGGGAGAGGTCTTCATTCCCTCATACTCATAAATCAACTCTCTCCACTTTCATTTGGGCATTAGTAGTTGAGTTCGCTCTCTGCAGTTAGTACCTTGAGCTGTATCGTCAGGGAGTGAGCCTCCTGCTGACTCCTGTTCCATGGCGTCCAGCAGCACAGGGCTCACCATAAACTTCAACCCCGCTAGGAGTAGTACGCAGTGGGGGAAACCATGTGATCCAGGCTTGATTCCTCACAGTATGGATACATCTTTAGAAGAGGTTTTTTAGAAAATGTTTTTATCTCTTTTAAAGCTGATGTCAGTGTTTGTGTGTGTGGTGGACAGATCTTTCTTGGACAGCTGATTAGGTTCTAGGATTGGATCATTTGCATTTAACTGTTATTATTTATTTTGTTGTTTTATTTTGAAAATGGTGCCATGTGGAGCCATGATTGTTGGATGCATTTGGTATTTTATGAGCAAGTCAAACTCAGAAGAAGCTGTAGGTTTGTGAGGTTGAGAATTAAGTGTTGGAGCAAGTTTGAGCTCTCTTCCTGATTTACATTTTTCTTTTGTTGACTTTTGTAACAGTTGCACAACTTGTCTGTTTCTCCTGCAGGCTCACCTGGTGGCAGCATTTGAACAGAGTCTGGGCAACATGACCATCAGACTGAAGAGTCTCACCCTGACGGCAGAGCAGAAGGTAAAAAAACAGCTCCTCCTGTTTTATAACAGACTGTGGTAGACTAATCGAAGTCTTCATTCACAGTCACTGCAGTTGATTTACTGGTTTGAGCCTCTCGTCAATGTCTCTGTGTAGGACTCTGAGCTGAATGAACTGAGGAAGACCATTGAGCTGCTGAAGAAGCAGAACGCTGTTGCTCAGGCTGCCATCAATGGAGTCATCAACACCCCTGAACTCACACATAAAGGGGACAGAACAGGTACACACACACACACACACACACACACACACACACAACACACACACAGCAAACATAATGTTAAATGTATGAATAAAGTTGATATTTTTAATTAGAATTAATATGATTCTTGTCAAAATGAACACATACAAGATGTCCTTCTGCACTTTTGTGTAAAAGTCTTTGAGAAAAGGCATTATAGGACACATCATACAAAGAGGATCCCACAATCTGTCTGAACTACTACAACTTGAACATTTTATTAACAAACAGACATTTCAATGTGACAAGGAACTTTCTTTATCAATACATTGTTGCAGTTGTGAGCTTCAGATGGTGTGTGGGACACTTTTTGTTGTGTGCTCTTCTTGTCAGGAGGGAAAGTTGGTAAGCAGTCTTTTGCGGTTAACAGCACATTAAATAGGATAATGTACTCCACCTATTTAATAACAGGGAACTCATTCCAAAATCTGGAGCCTTTTTTTCTGTAGTCAAAGTAAAACCTCCATCGTGTCAAAAGTGGACAGCACTGACACTATTGATATTTGATATTTAATAAGAGACATATTTTAGACAACACTTTCATTTACACTTCAGCCTGTCTCTCCTCAGCCGGCAGTAATGGCAGTCAACAGCAGCAACAGCAGCAGATTCAGCAGCCAGACCTGCGCATCAGGAGGCAGCATTCCTCTGACAGCGTCAGCAGCATCACCAGCGCAACCAGCCACTCCAGTGTCGGCTCCAACATGGATGCAGACGCAAAAAACAAGAAGAAGAACAAGAAGAACTGGGTAAGATGCTGGGAAATGTAAAATAATAACTTTAAATTCTAGCATCCAGCCGGGACTCATGATGGTTTGCTGTTTGTCTTTGTCTCTTTGTGCATTTTCATGTGTGTGTGTTGGTGTCACATGTTTGGGTTTCTCCCCTTTAGGCATCTTTCACTGGTGAAAAGGTGAATACACTTGATTTTCATAGACTTAGTTCTGTTGAATACCAAGTAATGATTGATTTGGTGATTTGTAAGTCAAAAGACATTTAGGTTCAAACTGGGATATATTTGGTTCTAGTTGTCGTCTCTTGGCCTGCAAATTACCAGATCAGTGCTTACTGGCTAGTGTCTAGGCCTAATGTCCGCTCTTTAGCTTTTTTTTAACTAGTGATCATAAATCAGAATATCTTACATACTGTCACTTACAACTTAAAAAGACATGAACTTTTGCTTTTTGTTCTTGAAAGGCTTTTTTGTGCACCGGAGGACAACTCAGAGACAGTGACGTACGCAACTTTTTTCCTCTCTGTCGTTCCGTAGACTGAAACGATGTTGTCTTAGCCGCCTGTGGTTGTCAGTATCTGATCCTGATGTTGAATTTAAGGAAAAGCAGTGTGCTGCTTTGTGGTAGCTGTTAAAAGACATGAGCTCGTGTAGAGTTTCCTGCTTTAAGTCCCAGTGATAATAAACGACCCTCCTGTGTGTGTGGATGTGCTTCCAGCTGTCAGAGTTTGTATAGATGAAACCCCACAGGAGGCTTCTCCATGCAGGTGCTCATACAGTGTGTGTGATGTGGCGTGTATAGGGGCTGTATGTGTTGGAGAGTATATAATGGATCATGAAAGACCCCCCTGTTTCACGGCTGGCTGTGATGTAGCATTAGCTTGCAGCTGCCTGGAGGTCAAATAAAATCATCCTTAGCCCTGTAGGGGCCTCTAGTTTAATCTCTGCCCCACCATAACAACATTAACACACCCAAACCCATATGAACATGTGCTGTTTTGTCTCTCTGTCTTCCTTTGCTTCGCTTCATGTGGCAGGTTTATGAGGTAAGATTGGTACGCTGCGTGGAATGAAAGAAACAAAGCTGCCTAACGCCTGCACTTTTTCTAGGTTACTAACCTCTGTCCTTTTCCTCCTGTCCTCTGCTGCCACTGTAGTGCCTGTCCTCTCCAGCTCTGCCCCTCCCTGAAAACTGCTCTTATGACACTTGAACAAGCTCTAGAAAGGAAAAATCCACCTGAAAATACTGACGCTCATAATAAAAGGGTGTTAGTGATACTTAAGTACCATTTTGTGGTGGGTTTTGGTAACTGGCCAAAATATAATTGACATGACATCATTTTTGGTGCAGCTAGATATTTGAAGACAGAAAATACAAAACAATGTCTGGATGTACCTGAAAACCAAAAGTCCCCACTTGACAGCAATTTTAAAAATCCTACTGAGTAGTTACAGCTTACCATTGTGTAAGTCTGTTTTCAGTAGAGTGTTGTCACAATAATTCCTACTTTAGCACTGAGGTTGTTTTTCAGGAGATTGTTGAAAAGCTTGTAGGGAATCACTAACTGAAGTAGAAGCAGACGATGTCGGTCCAGGGAAAGTAAGTTCCCTGAAATAACTGAATGACCGTTCTTTTTAAAATAAAATCTGAGTGTAAAGTATTCACGGTGGATTTCTCCTTCAAACACAAACTCTTGCTCAAGTAACATGATGAAATCAAACAGATACTGAAAGTATACATGCAGTTTGAATATGGCTCATCATTTTTATCTTTATTTTTTTATCTGATTTATTAGATTTTTATCAAAAGATTATTTAAAAGAAGCAAAGACAAGTACGCCTTCGAAAACATTGCAGTTTTAGAAAATGAAGAGAATGATTGGGAAAAGATGCCATTGATGTAGTTATCAAGACACAAAATGGTTCAACTACAGTGATTGCAATGCAAATTATATTTCAATATCTAAATTTCAGTGTGAAAAGACACACATCAGAATTTAATTCTGTCTCCCCAAACGACTATCAACACCGTCAACTGCTCCCCGTATAATGTCTCCTTTAATACACTAAGAAAGGTATTCACTTTGCTATTTTTAAAATAAAAAACAAGAACAATGAGCCATTAATAGATTATAAATCAGTATCTATATGCTCAACCTTTCTCTGAAAAACACACACACACCAAGAGCTGAACTCAAGTCATAAGACAGTGTACCCATAATTCCCTTTCTCCCTGTGACTCACTTGCACTTTTTAACAGCTGTTTTCCTCCACTTTCCCCGGCACACTCCTCCTCTTCCTCTTCCCTCTCAGCGTGTGTTTTTGGAAGCGTGTCCTTCCTCTGCTCACCGTCTCTCTTTGTCTTTCTCTGTTTCAGCTGCGAAGCTCCTTCAAACAAGCGTTCAGCAAGAAGAAATCTCCCAAGTCGGCCTCTTCTCACTCCGACATCGAGGAGATGACGGACTCCTCGCTGCCGTCCTCCCCCAAACTGCCTCACAACGGCTCCACAGCCTCCGGCCACATGCTCAGGAACACACACTCCAACTCGCTGTACGTAGACAGTACACATCAAAGAGTACACGTGGCAAACTATCAAACGCTTAATTCACAATGTTTAATGTCACTAATCTGTGTTTTCCTGCCTTTGTGTGCGTGCATACGCAGACTGTCAGAGTGTTTGGACAGCGAGGCGGAGACGGTGATGCAGCTGCGCAGCGAGCTCAGGGAGAAGGAGATGAAACTGACCGATATCCGCCTGGAGGCTCTCAGCTCCGCCCATCAGCTGGACCAGCTCCGGGAGGCCATGAACCGCATGCAGGTCTGCGCGCACACACACACGTACACAAAACCATATATTAGAGAGCTTCACATTCGAGGATAAATCAGCACCGAAACACAGAGTGCAGACAGTCATTGCTACACAGCTTTCTGTGAGTTGAAACTGTCGGTCTGCACTTCTGGCCACAACCCAATCAGTGACGCTGGTTTTGACAGTGTGATAACCACCAGCTGTGACTGGTGCTGGCCAGATGTGCAGATGTTTTTGTTCTCTGTGATCTACTTTCCTAACTAAACTCTGGTAGTAGTGTTAGTATTAGTTGTCGTACTAGCTTTCAAAACATTCCACTAATCGGTCTGATTAGGGTGATTTTATTAATTGTGAACAAGTTTTAACTCCACAACAACATGACATACTTCTGGTCAGACTGTGCAGTAATTTGAAAGGAGCCATGAAGCAGTTAAATTCAAACACATTAGTTGGCCTGAAGGGGGAGCTAAAGTCAGAATGAATAAGAATGAATCTTTCAGCTGTTCTTTGTTTGCTAACTTCATTTGTGTGTGTCTGCAGCTGGAAATCGAGAAACTGAAGGTGGAGAATGACCGTCTGAAGGTGGAGAATCAGGGCAGCAGGACAGGCTCCCAGGCCTCCATCTCGTCCTCTCCTCCCCCTCACACGCACACACACAACCAGGCCCCGGGTACCGGGCCAGGGCTCTCCCAGCACAGTCTCAACCTCACCACCAGCGAGTCCACCAGCCTGGGTAAGACAGAGCAGACTGGCACAGTTTCTGGAAGATTTTAATGAGATACTGAATAGTCTGACAGTATAAACTGATTGCTTTTTAAAATTAAATGTTCTTTCTATATGAGTTAGTTGTTTAATGCAGGGATTACAGTTCTTTCACTAGTACACATTTCTGTCTCAAGACTATATGAGATCAGTGTGGACAGAAAGGGAATAATTTCCTCCAACAGCTCACAGATGACATATGTGTCAGACAGTGAATTTATATGCAGTGACTTGATTCTTAAGGGAAACAATGGAAATACTTTGCTCTGTTTTCCCATCAGACATGCTGTTGGATGACACCGGCGGAGAGGGAGGGATGAGGAAGGAGGGGAGACATGTGAAAATGGTCGTCAGCCTGGACGAGGTCAGCAAGTGGGGAGAGGTGAGACCTGTTTGAAAAATACAACTCAAACTGAACCTTTATGTCAGCTCAGATTGTTATGGCGCCGATAAGCTTTTCCAAACGCAGTCGTGTTTTTCCATTGCAGGAGGGCCGGCCTCGTCATTTTCTGATTGGTTGCATCGGCGTGAGTGGTAAAACCAAGTGGGACGTCCTGGACGGAGTGGTCCGACGCCTTTTCAAGGTATACAGTAACTGCGATACAGAGTCCGATAAAAAGACAGTGTTAGAAACACCTCAGGATTAATGTTGTTTTAAGACAGTTTGAAAGTCTTTGAAAGGTAACTAAAAGTATTAAGGTTTCTGAAAATGTCTGAGTCTTGGCAGTTAGGTTTCCTACTATAACAAACAATATGCACACATTTTAATCTCACACTCAAATGTGCTTCTATTGAGCAAAAACAAACAACAAACAAAAAAGCTGCTATCCTTCTTAGAAACTTAAACATTACTTTAAATGCTGAGACTTTGTGTGTGACAGGAATACATCACCCATGTGGACCCGGTGAACCAGCTGGGCCTGAGCTCAGAAAGCGTGGAGGGATACAAAATCGGCGAAATCCACCGGCCCAGCAGCCTCAGGGCTGCCCTCACACCTGAACTACTGCCCTGCGGTTACCTGGTGGGAGACAGCAACACCATCAACATCCAGCTCAAAGGTACCAACGCCATCAAATGATTCGGGTCTGCCAGTCACCATTGTTACAGTTTAAAACCAGTTTCAATCAAGTTTATACAGTCTATTACTCAGTGGGAATAAATATCCTGATGTGAATGTGTGTGTGTCCAGGTGTGAGCAGTGAGAACGTGGACTCACTGGTCTTCGACACTCTGATCCCGAAGCCGATGCTGCAGCGCTACGTCTCCCTGCTGAAGGAGCACAGACGCGTCATTTTGTCGGGCCCCAGCGGTACAGGCAAGACCTACCTGGCCAATCAGCTATCTCGGCACCTGCTGCTGCTGGAGGGCCGGCCCCTGACCCCGCACGCCGTCGTCACTTTTAACGTAGACCACAAGTCCAGCAAGGTAAATAAGACACATGCAGATTGTGTATACGCTTTAGTGGTTGTTAAACCTACTCTGCACAAAGGGATGAATGTGAATTTCTCTTACATGGGTCACAAAACAGCCAACAGACTTTGGTCTTTTTCTGCTCTCTAGTATTGAAACATGACATCAAAATAAACTCTTGAATAAACTGAATTCTGTTTCTGATGAATCACAAATTCAGGTTTCATCCTTCAAACAATAGCCATAAGAACTGTAAACAAAACTCATTTTCAATAACTGTTTATTACATTAAAGGCTGTACAGATACTTTGGTAAGATGTTAAAAGTCAAAAGTAATTTAAATATTCTGGTGTATGTAGGTCAGAGAGGTTTTTGTGTATAAAACCCAAACAAGTATTAATGGTTACATGATTTCAACTTTTCTCTGAAGGAGTTGCGTCAGTACCTGTCAGGCCTGGCCGAGCAGTGCAGCGGTGTCCCGGGGGCCGACAGCCCTCTGGTGGTCATTTTGGACAACCTGCACCACATCAGCTCCCTGGGAGAGATCTTCAACGGTGTCTTCAACTGCAACTACCAGCACTGGTCAGTTCACAGAAACACACACACCTGCACAATCATACTAAACAACAACAAAATATCTGTTTCAGTTCACTTTCAGCTCTGTTAGAACGGTTTACAGGAGCTGTTCGACACAACGCAAAGCAGAGTAAAACGCTCTCAACCTCTGACTTATTGAGTGTGGTGTGACTTAATGGCCTAATATTACCTGATGAGAAAAAATAATCATTCTGTAATTCCTTTAGCCCCTACATTATCGGCACCATGAGCCAAGCAACGTCATCTGCCCCCAACCTGCAGCTTCACCACAACTTCAGGTAAACTGTTGCTCATATCCTCCATCCTCTCCTTGCAGCTTGATGTTAAAATATTACAAGCTCTTACAATACATTTAATCTCTTTGTTTAAAATCTTTGTATGACAAGTCCTAATGTACCTGTATGTTCCCTGATCAGGTGGGTGCTGTGCGCCAACCACATGGAGCCGGTGAAAGGCTTCCTCGGTCGCTACCTGAGGAGGAAGCTGATCGAGACGGAGATCGGCAGCCGGACACGCAACATGGAGCTGGTGAAGATCATCGACTGGATCCCGCGGGTTTGGCACCACCTCAACCGCTTCCTGGAGACACACAGCTCTTCCGACGTCACCATCGGTGAGAGGACGATGCACAATTAAAGAAAGATCCTTTTAATAAAATGTCAATGTGTAGAAACAGTCAGTGCCTTACCTTTTCTGCTCTGTGGCGTTTAGGACCTCGTCTCTTCTTGTCCTGTCCCATGGACGTGGAGGGATCCCGGGTTTGGTTCACTGACCTATGGAACTACTCCATCATCCCTTACATGCTGGAGGCTGTACGGGAGGGACTACAGGTAACACACATACCTGAGCGCACAGTTTTTTTTGTGTGAAATCTCAAAAATGTTTTATTTGTATTAAATTAAAAAGGAATATCAGACTAGTTGGGCTCTGGTCAAAGAACAACAGATAGATTTTGGGTGGTGGTCCAGGTCTTGGATTTTGACATTTTTATCTGTAACAATAAAACATTATAATAAAGAGAAATTTAAAAATTTGACGGGATATTTGAGGGATCCAGCTGAATGCAGTACAAGTGTGTAATGAGGGTAATGATAGAATTGTTCAGATTTGCCCTCTCAGAGGACCAGGGTTATGTTCATGACAGTGAAATGGATTCAATTTGTACTCTCAATCTGCATGTAATTAGTATCTGATTTAATTAGGCAGCGGCTAATTACCAGAATGCAACCTCAGAGTGGGTGTGAAGGAGAGCCTGAAAGGCAGAGTTTAGTAGAGGAATATACTTAGAACAGAAACCACAGTGTATTGATGCTGAAATGGAAACTATGTTTTCCTTTGTGTGTTCGTTACATTAGAATCAGCCGTTTCTACAGTAGCCCAGAACGGACAAACCGAACGAGCCTTTCATGTTTTTCGCAGCCACTGTAGTTTCTCCTGCAGAACAGGAGGGCTGAGCTGTATTCAGATGGTTGCAAGTGTGTTTGACTGTTGCACTCTGTGTCTCTCTATAGCTGTATGGCCGCAGAGCTGCGTGGGAGGACCCAGCTGCCTGGGTGATTGACACTTACCCATGGTCTGCCACGCCCACTCCTGCTGAATGGCCCCCGCTGCTGCAGCTCCGCCCGGAGGATGTTGGGTTCGATGGCTACTCTGCCCCGAGAGAAGGAGTCAGGAAAGAGCCGCCACAGAGCGACAGTGACGCAGACCCACTGGTGAGCAAAAACACACACAAAGAACAGGATCTGTATCCGTTACTGAGCATTTAAACAATTATATAGTATCTCTTACAACGTTAAAATTAAGTCTGTTTTTGAATGAAATGATGTTTCTGCCAACAGATGAACATGCTGATGCGTCTGAAGGAGGCGGCGACGTCATCGAGTCCGCAGAGCTATGACAGCGACTCCAACAGCAACAGCCACCAAGATGACATCCTGGACTCGTCTCTGGAGTCGACCTTGTGATGTCGCCAAAAGGCAACACAGGGATCAGTTTTCAGGAGGAACTTTTTATAAGAACTGTTCTCACTGTGAGAACTTCTTGTTGTGAGGATAATGTCACAAAATCCAGCCACCTTAATTTGGGTGCAGGTAACCCAAATATTTAAAAAGAAAAAAGGTTCAAATTGCATTTCAAAAAACGGGCAACAAGTTTCTACTGCACTGCGCTGTTTTTTGTTTGTTTTTTTTCACCGCTGTGGCCCGTGGCTCCTCTGTCAGGAGCCTGACATCTACTTCAGACAGACAGAATAAAAGCACGCAGCCTGTCACTGATGCTGAGGCGTCATCATTACCATCATCACCAGCCATCAGCGTACTTAAATACCAGCCAGGAGTCCTCCACAGCATCAGCTCCAGCTCATCAGGCTGAGACGCTCCTGGTCCTGCCCAGCTGCAGTGCATCTGAACTGCCTGCAGATGGTGCTACAGGCCCTTGTCTCTGGAGCATCAGTGAGCCTGAGCTACCAGCTGCTGAGAACACAGATGCTGGTTGGATGGATGAACAGCCAGCCGCTTCCTCCTCCTGCTCGTCTACGGCTGGAGTTGCATGTGGGATTGCTGGAGGGTAAATCGAGCCAAAGTGAATGTTAAGTCCTACAGGATGCCCACACACACTTCCAAAAACTCCTCAAAGATTGTTAAATGTCCCCTCAAACACTGTTTTATTTCACTTAAACTATATCAAAGCCAAATTTCTGAGTTGAAAAGAAATAGTGAAAGAACAGTCAATGTGTGTCCACAAAAAGTAATTAAGGGAGCACTAATATAAAGTAGTTCCTACCATCTACATTTGAATGTTTTTGAGTTAAATGCAAAAAGTTAACTTCATTAAAAACCTTCAGTGGACAAAAAGGATGAGAACTGTGAGTGTTTATATATGATATACACTACTGTTCAAAAGTTTGGAATCATCTGTAATGGCTGTTTTAACATAGATAACAACAGTATAATTCAGACACCAAATCTATTGTTTACATTTGAAATACTCTTGGCCCTAAAAAATAAAAATTAAATGTTCAAAAATTCAACTTAATTGACCCACAGCCTTGCATGACCAGGGAAGAATACCCTTTGATTTTGAATTTGTTTTCTCGTCCAGGAAAGCGTAAGTGACCCTAGATCATTAACAAGCGACAATGGTGCTTGCAGTTGGATAAAGGAGGAGGTTTAGCGCGCTTCAGCCGACTCACAAGGAACGAGGCCTGTTCTCCGCTCTCAGAGTAGGGCAATGTCGTATCAGGACAAATATTGTCTTAGACTGATAAAGATGCACCTGCCATTGAAACGTTGTTTAATAAAGTATGTTGCAATAGGTGCTCGCAACTGGGCTCTAAATATTTTAGTAACCTGTTTTTCTTTGGGCCTTCTGTAGTCTAATCTATAGATCCATTCAGTAAGTTAAAATTGTGATTTTTCAGTCAGTAAGTAGTAAGCTGATATTATAAAAGTTTTAAACAAAAGCAAGACGCTGTTTGTTTTCAAACTCTTCATACAAAATAACATCTATCTGTAAAGAGGATGTTCTACAACTGCAAAGCATAAAAGACAATTCAAAAACATACAGTCATCCTCTGAGCCGTCTGACTGTACCAAATCAAGCTTTTGCAGCAGGTTATTCAAAACCTTTAACATTAGTGTAAAGATGAGGACAAGGAAGTTGGCAAACACTGTAGCACCATTGCTTCAGCACCAGAAAAATGTGTGTGGAAACGAAGGAGACAAGCTTGGTCAATTTAACCAAAGATTCTCACCACAATCCTTGCTCAAACTTTGTTTTGGAGTTGACACCTCATATGGCACTTCATCAACATCCGCAGTGGTTACATCCTCCCACATAGCTGAGCTGTTGTTCTAGTAGAGAGGGGTTCCTTTGAAATGGAGCAGAATAAAGTGATAAATGCATAAGTTTTATTGGCCAAACACACAATTGGAAACACAAACACCTGTCAGATCTCCTGAAAATAAAAATCTTTTCTTATCCAGCAAACATTTGTAGCCAATTTTACAAAGCAAGGCAAAATCTAATTACAAAATCCCTTTAAGACTTTCAGGAGGAATGGGCACTAACTGGGAAATTAACATTCACCATGGCTAGATTTATGCTTTTAACTTTTACCGTGTTTGAGATAATGTCATTTCCTATCTGTGTTCAGTGTCATTTCACAAAAAAACGCCTCTACCAAGTTCTAAGTTCTGTCTTTGACCGCTTAATCATCCTTTGAATGCTCCATGCACATTGGCCCAAACAGGCTGTTGTAGCACAAATCTCTTTTGGTGCTGGACCGAGTTCTAACAAACAATGCCTTACTCTTTTCTAACAGACTATGTGCATTAGCTGATTCTTTATTTGTCTAAATGGCTGTAAACTTAACAGGGCTCCAAAGTCGACCCTCTCCTCGAAGAGCGGCGTCGACCTCTCATCATATCAAACACCAATTGCCGTGGAATTGAGATGTGAATGAGAAGCAGTACTCTGGGTTTCAAATTAAGGTGTATGCATGTATGACCCAGTGCTGTGAAGCTGGTGTAAATATTTGGACCACTGGCAAGAAAGAAAAAAATATATATATAGATGTGTTTTGGTGCTCGAAATCAGAAGTTTTTGCAGGTTGATTGGGTGAAGGAAGTTTAGGAAGATGTGTTGATTTTATACCTCATCCTCATCCTTTAACTGTGCTTTCGCCATGCTCATAGTCTGTTTTGATTATGTGATTTGTGATGAACAGAACTGTCATGACAAACATGATGAACTAATTAAGTGAAAACTAGTGTATATGCTGCTTTGTTGATAGTGTTATAATTAATGAGGTTAAAAGGTATAACGGTACTTGTGGTTGAACGATAATGTAAAACGGTTTGACATCATTTCTGTGGCTTAAAAAAAAAATAAAGAACATTGTACTTTTTCTTTGTTTTTAAACCTGCCTTCTGGGAAGGGCAGGCTGACGCTTAAAGCCGGGGTCATGCATCGCTTTTAGTGTTTTTATCACCAATCCTATGCAACATTCATTCTGATCTCCAAATGGAAGCCAAAAGCTGAATGTGCGTTTGTCTCCCGCCCCCCCCTTCCCCCCCATTCCCCACCATTCCCCACCATTCCCCACATCCCCGAGCGGTTTTCAGCACTGCCGAGACGTACAGCATGGAACCCGATTTGTGAAGACTTTTAGGATTTGTTGCCCATGGTCTTTGTCCATATGTGTGTATGTGTATTTTATATAGAGGCTTTCCCGCTACGGTCCTTGTAAGCACAAAGAGACTGATTCTCTGTCTTGTGTAAAGCCGGCTCTGAGAGGTGTGGATGTTGTTGAAGCATTTGACCAGTCGGTCAGTTTATTACTCACAAACTCAATGAATGTTTAGCCTTCTTTGCTATGTACATTTTTTATATGTAACATAACTTTGTAAATAGTTGATTATCTTGCAGCATTTTGATGACTTTTTCTAGCTGATTTGTAACAGTACTTGAAAAGGAGTATTTTGTGTACAGTCTCTTTACATCAGAGCAGATTGGTGCTGTTTGTCACTGGTCTGTCCAGGGCTCGGAGAATTAAATCTATCACTGTACTAGTCTTAAGTTATTGTGATTCAATAAAAATTAATGATTATTTATGATTGAATTTTGTCAAATGGTTCTTTTTTAAAAAAACACACACTCACACACACACAGTTGACTTGGAATTGTTTACAATTTTATTTGGTATTTGTACAAAAAGTGTGACATAAACATATATACAACACATAATACAACATACTTATTAAACAAATTCATATAAATTATTAACGAAATAGCTACATTTTTCAATAAACAACTCTATTCAAGGTAAAAGTAACTCAATATTCTTGGCATAAAATTTCCATACAAAATTGTACAAAATACTGTACAATTGAACAAAGCTGTGCAAAACAGCAAATTGTGTCTCAGAAGCAGATCCTGTACAGTGCGCATGCGCTGATGAAGCAACAAACTTGAGTGAAACTTGAACATCGACGGTTATGGGGTCTTGTTTCAGGGCGGCAGCTTCTTACACATCCGGTTACAGTCTCATATGAAAACAAAACACGGGTTATATCTCTATATTTGCTTTTTTTTTAAAAAATAAATTAAGATACTGTTATTTCTTCTTCGTCTGACTCTGAGAAGTCCGAGTGCTTACTGGAAAGAGATGGAGAGGAGATGCTGGACCCAGCCGCCCTCATTCTCTCTCTCCCGAACTCTTCCTCATCCTCTTCCTCATCGGCTGAAGACTTCTTGCCCACGTCGCTGAGGTCCGGATGCGGGTTGGCTTTGGTGGGAAGCGTCTGTTCGCGGCAGCCACCGGACGACAGCAGCTCTCGTTCCTTAGAGTTCCTCCACTTCATCCGCCGGTTCTGGAACCAGATTTTCACCTGTAGACGAGGAGAGAATGGTGAGTTAAAAAGTTCTGCGTCAGGTGCACTGAAATGCGTCTTTACGCGCAAATTACGCACAACGTGTCGAACATTTTAAGCACCTGTGAGCACTTAAGAAGTTTTACCTGTGAGTCTTTCAGGCCCAGTTTAGAGGCCAGCTTCTTCCTGTCGGGCTTGCTGATGTATTTCTGTTTCTGGAACATCTTTTCCAAGGCCTTGCGTTGCACATCGGAGAACACCGCCCTCCTCAGCATCCCTCTCCGGGGTTTCCCTCTAGCGGCCAGTGGCCACGAAAAAGTCCCGGGGATGGGAACAACGGATGAAGATGCTATAATACAAACACAGAAGAGAAATTGAAACCTGTTAGTTTTGTTTTCTTTGGCACATCTCTGGAAAAAAAAAAAATCTGTTTGCAGAGAAGAAATTGTCCTTCAAAGGACCCTGGAGCCTCGACAGATGGGAAATCTTATTGTTATAAATCTAAACTTAAAACCAGTCTGACTTCAGAGAGGCTCTATATGCATGTAATGATTTCTCTTTACTTTTCAACCGGTCAGTATTGGAAGTTTCCCCCCTTGGAACTGTGCAATACGTCTCCGTTTTGAGTGAAATGGCACGAGGTGACTAATTAGCACATTGGCCGGTCCCCAACCGCATTGGTATGGTAAAGAGGTAGCATATCCTTTAAGGAACCCTGTGAGGGCGGATAGAGGAGTTAATAAACCGTGAACGGTAATTGTGTAGTAATGAACTAACGCAGAAAAGACTCTGGACAGGCGGCGAAGGCCATATATTATCGCAACAAAAGGAGATTTACACTTTCAAACTAAACACAACTGCATACCAGAATACTGATGCCCGGTGGGGGTGGGGGGTGGGGGGTGAAGAGTGGAGGGGGAATTTTTTTTTTTTTTTTTCGTGCCTTCAAATCATTTTCATTAAATGAACACGAAAAGCTATTCAGGACGCTGGAGTTGTTTTGTTGAGGCATTCAGCTGAGCCCATGAAAAGACTCCATCTCCATTATGATTTGGCTGAATGAAAAGCACGGACTAGCGACTTTATAGACTTTTCTAAGAGATTATTCTTTATCTCAACTCGTTGATTGGCCCGCTTGGAGAATAGAGGAACGTTTAGGGCACAGAGACGAGTGAGGATTGGAGGTCAGTGGTAACCTATCCTATGGGCCGTGCAGCATGCAGAGGAAAACCCTTCCACAGCTGGGACGTTTTGGATGCGGTTGGTATTTAAAAAAAAAACGCGTTACATTAAAATCCTGCCGCGCAGTACTCGTCTCCTCTCCGCGCACTGGACTTCCTGACTGTAGCTGCCCTGTGGCCGCAGCAGCAACAAGAACAACGACGCGCTATGTGGTCTTGTGAGAATATTGAAAACTCTCAATAGCGCCTAATAGGGAAATTAGTGCATGACTGGTTCACGCCTTTGCCCCCCCTGGTAAAAGTCACTCTCCGGGGTGTGTGGGTGGTTCGCCCGGTGGGAGCTGACCAAATTGGTCACGGTGCTGAAGGCTTTGTTGCCAACCACAGCGGCCCGGTGGCCCCCCGGGCGCTGTGGGAAAACGCGGGGCCGGGGAAATGCCAAAACGCCCCCCAATGGGAAGCAGGGGGGACTATAACTCGCCACCCCGCCTCAAATTTAGAGCGTGACGATTTGGGATAATTGGTTAATTAGGGGGTGGGTGGGTGGGTCCGGGCAGGGGCCAGAGCTCCCCATTAATAAGACAGTGATTTCTTCTTTTCTGGTAAAAAAAAAAACAAACAATCTATGACAGGCGGTGAAAGTGTTTTACATTTAAATGTAATTAGTTTGAGACAGAATTGTAAAGGCTGGAGAGAGATGAAGCTATAGAGGGGAAGTGCGTAAAAGTTGCGCCTACCTGGTAAATAAGGCGTCCTGAATATGGGGTGAAAAGTTCCGTCAAAGCAGGGGATGGGGAAGCTCTTGGAGTGCAGGCTGTGGATTGTAGGTGGTAAGGAAGCTGTGGAGGAATCACAGATGTTAAAAATCATCCCTGAATAAAAAAAACCATCTAAAAACACATAAACTGAGACTGAAGGCAGAAACACGGCGGAGTCTGTGTACTCACCGGTCTTTGGTGAAGGTGCGAGGATGGCGCTCACTCCAAACTTGAGAAAAGTTGGGTCCTTGCTGCTCGGCAGGGACGTTTTCGGTGAGCATGATTCGCGCGTCATCGTGGTCGTGGCCAAGGCGCGCTCCGCGCCGCTGAAGGACAGGGTGGTGGTGGCTGTGGGCAGGGAGGCGCCTACACTCCGGTTAATGAAGGCGGTGGGGCGGCTTATCCGCAGCAGGTCCTCCACTAGAAAGCTGGAGTGGGTCGGGAAGACGGACGGCAGGGTCTGGTGCAGCGGCAGAGCAGCGGGCCGGTACAGTCCCGGGTAGAAGGCTGGAGGCGCGATGACACTTGGGATCATCATGGTCCCGGCTTACAAAAACAGCAAGTGTGTGAGAACTGAGATACTCCTTGTGGTAGCTGGGAGGGAATCAGTCGAGTGAATGGCTGCTAACTCCTCTGGTTTCCTCACTCTGGGGAGAGGAGTTTTATAGCGGCCTGTCCCCCCCACCCCGGCCCTCCGCTCAGAGCTGACAGCCTCAACAATGGGGCTCAACAAAGTTCTCCACATGGGTCGCTTTCATGCCGCATCCCCCGGGCCGCTGATTGGCCAGAGGACGCAATTTATGATTGCATTAGACTTCATAAGCAAGCAACACACAATGTCCCCACCACAAAAGAGGCTCAGTCATCAATTTTGCATGTTGACCACTTTCCTTTCAATTTGTTTTGTTTGGCAGAGGCAAGCGGCCTAATTAAAGAGCAATCTTTACAGATTCAGTCATTATGGGGACTTTTAACGAGTAGGCCTCTTTTTAAAAAAAAAAAAGATACCTTATTCTTTTCTATTCAGTGTCTTTATGTTATTCAGGATATAAAAATATACTCGTTAAAATGCTAAATTATTCTTTTATTCTATTTACAAGCAAAAAAAAAAAATTAAATAAAAAAATAAACAGATAAAACTTTAAACCATTTAGTAATATCAAAACACCTTGAAGCACATTTATAATATTGGGCTATATAAATAAAACTGACATGACCCAACAGAACAACTCATATATTATCTATATTTATTGTTCAATCTACATTAGTTGCCGACGCTGCGCAGCATCTCAAATGTAAATCAGTTTTAGGGTTTCATAGGATTCTCAACACCCAATCTGGCCCTCGTCATGGAATAATGTCTTAAACGGATTTCTGCTATCAAAACGCTTTAACAGATGTGTTAAATATCACTCTTTTTACACAGGCTTCATTCAGAGCGCAGAGCCGCAGCTCAGTGCGCACAGGAGAAGTGTGCGGCCTGAGCCGTGCGCTCATGATCCTGTTAACCATGAACTAACTGTCACCCTCAGCTGCGGAGGAGGCGCCCCTCGGCCTTTCTCTCCTTCCCTCTCTCGGCTTCAAAAAAAACAAAAAAAAAGCCCAGTGGAATAAAAAAAAGCTTTATTTCTAAAGACGGTTTTGTTCTGCTATTTTAACCGGCTGAATAAAAGTGCATCTGTGATTTGATTTAAAACGCATTCATATGAGCGGACACTGAGACCCCATATAAAACTCTTATTAAAGCGACTTGGAGCCTGATAGTCGTGTTCTGTCAGCTTTGCCTCTGAAAACCCGTTAAAGCAGAGCAATCAGGCGAAAATGCATCACAGACCTAAAGAAGAAGAAGGAGAAAAAAAACCGCCTAATTGTTGCCAGTTTGAATCCCAATTAAAACGAGAAATACAATAAAAGAGTGAGTTTGATTTAAAAAAGAAACGAAACATTATGTTGGTTGTTAAGTGTGTGATTTTATTCATCTTTAATTTGACTTTGTTTTTTTGTTTTTTTTAATGTCATATAGCCTAAATCTTGAGTTAAAATTTTAATATTTATTATTTTTACTGTCATATATCCTAAATCTCGAGTTAATATTTTAATTTCTAAGTTTTAATTATTTTTAAAAAAGCGCAAATGTTTTTTTATTTTCATTCTCTTGTTCCACTTAACCGTAATGCCCCTGTATTTAGGACTTATGGTGAGTATGTGTGCAGTTACTTTTAGTCTGCTCTTGATATTCATCATATTAATTATGATTGTAATATTGTTTTTATCACATTCTTATGTTTTGAAGGCCAATGTATTTCTGAA